GTTTGGGGGGTGTGGGGGGGGGGGGGGGGATTAGATTGAAAATGATAGTTTTTACTCCTTGGATATAAATTGATAAGAGCACAGGCTTCCTACCCTTCATTCTTTTTCTTTCAACTTCTTCTCGTTTTCCTTCCATTCCAACAACTTCCTCTTGCCATGGGGTTGATGTCCTTCTACTTTGGTTCTCTTGACCTGTCCCTACTCATGACCCTCATGATTTGGCCACACAATCTCTTTCCAATTTTCTTTTCGTGCAAAATTCATTTTCTGCTCTTTCCCATAGTCCTTTTTAATTGACAATAAATTTCTTATGTGTGCATATGAGTGTTCTGCAACTTCTTTTTGTATCTTCTGTTTATATCACTTTTCTGCTGTTATTTTGGTATTATTTTATCACTATAGTATTACATTGTTTTTGACTGGGTGGTTGGAAGATAACAATGGATAGTTAATACAATCTGGTCAAGGGGGTTATCACAAATAGTTGGTTGTCAAAATTTTGCTCAAATATGTAAAGTTGGAGTAAAGATTTGACTATGGAAGACTTAGTTGATGGGCATTCCCGCTTATCAGACAACTGCTAAAGGTTACTAAACATAGCTATTTGCTTAAATTGTTTTCTCATCCAAAAGCTAATATTTTGTGCTAATCTTTTTTCTGTGAACTAAATTTTGAAGTGGCTGCTTCTAGTTTTCTTGTCCTTCTATTATATGAGAGCAAATACCGACACTGTCCTTTTTTTTGCTTCGTTTGAACTTGCCTCCCATACATATTTTTGTCTTGCTATGGGTCATCAACCAAATTTGATTGCAGAAAATGTCTGACCAATGTCTTTCTTTAATCGGCAGGCAGCTGATCATCCTTACCTTGTGATGTACTCTAGAAAAGAATTGGCTAGTGGCAATAAAGAGGCTGGAGATGTTGAACAATCATGTGTCTTATGTCAGGATGCAGTGGAAGATCCAGTAGTGAGTTTGCACTCCTCTACCCACTCCCCTCCCCCATACCAAGAAATAGGAAAAGAGAGAGAAGAAAGGAATACCAAACATGTTACTCAGCTGAAGTTCAATTTTTGATAGCTCTCTCCTTTTCTGCATTTCTTAAGTTGTTTTTTTGCTTGGCCGTTCAAGGTCTAAGAACATCGAGCACCTTTCAATTGCTCAAATCCAGCCTGAATGTTGTATGTACACTCTTCAAATGCCATTCACTCTCTTTGGAATTCGAAAAATTGTTGTAGTTCTCATGAAGCGGATTAACATTTGGGATACTCTCTTTCTAGCAGCATAGACATGGAGATTTTATCAAAAGTACATCTAGTATACAGTCCTTATACATTAAACAGAGTCTTCTTTGAACTGTCCATCTCTTTTTGATTTTTGCAGGTTACTTGTTGTAGGCACGTGTTTTGCAGGGCGTGTATGATATATTTAGCTGAAGATGTGAGGGAAACGCCATGCCCTTCATGTACCAAACCCCTCACATTTGACTTCACTGGAAATAAAGATAAGGGAGATTCTAGTTCTAAACCTACTGTCAAAGGGTTTCGGTCCTCAAGTATATTGAACAAAATTCAGCTAGATAAATTCAAGACAAGCACTAAAATAGAAGCATTGGTATGCAATTGCATTCATCATATTCTCCTCAGCTTGCTTTTTTTCTTTGTCTTATGGGTTTATTTCCTTTTCACAAGGAAAGCAAGGGGTGTGAGCTCATGATCTTGTATTTCTTTCTCTGTGAACCGCTCTAAATTCTTCAGAAATAGCTCATTTTTTACTTTTATTGAATGTAGAAGGAAGAAATTAGCGACATGTTTGAAAGGGACGGTTCTGCAAAAGGAATAGTTTTTAGCCAGTTCACATCGTTTTTGGATCTGATACAGTATTCTCTTAATGTAAGACATAATGGTACTTTCTCCTTTCTACTTTCTCTTCTTTCCAGACTAACAAAAAAGAAGCTTGTGTTGTGTGTATTCAGCTGTGTGGCATCAATTGTGTTCAATTAGTTGGATCCATGTCTATTGCCGCAAGAGATGCTGCACTTAAAAGATTCACTGTGGATTCACATTGCAAGATATTGCTTATGAGCTTGAAAGCTGGAGGTGTTGGCTCATCTCTTGATCTTTGCTAGGTTTTCTTAATGGATCCTTGGTGGAATCCTGCAGTGGAGCAGCAAGCCCAAGATAGAGTCCATCGAATAGGGCAATATAAACCAGTCAAGTGTGTTTTGTATTTCTTCTGCTTTGGTGACCATTGAATAGAGCTTATTGTTGTTTTCGAATTTGCAGGATTGTGAGATTTGTGATGGAGAATACAATTGAAGAGTGAATCTTAGAATTACAAGAGAAGAAGAAATTACTTTTTGAAGGGCAAGTGTGTTTTTCTTATAGTCGTCTACATAGTATCATATATGTTCTGACAAAAATAAAGTATTTTGATGATTTTCCTTTGCATGTTGTTATTGTCAATCTTTTGTTAGATTCCTTCTTTGCTCCCTTCCTCCGCTCTTTCTCTTGAGAACCATTTTTCGCTAACTGTTTGTTTTTCCTCTGATTACAGGACAATTGGTGGTTCTTCAGAGGCCTTAGGAAAACTAACAACTGAGGACTTGATATCCCTGTTTTATTATCACTTTTGATATGTTCTATTTCTTCGGTTTGGCAAACCAATTGACATGTGCTTGTTCAGCTTCTAGCAAAATTTTGTACGAAGTGTTCTGACATTTGCTTTTATGTTGCATGGAGTTTGATCTGTCCAAAGAGTGTTTCTGTTGCTTCTGCATCTTAATTGATATGAATCACCTTCAACAGTCATTAGCTTCATCAATTGTTTTATTATTTCCTTCCATTTTAGCTTCACTTTCATGATAAAAAGTGCATCATAATCCATACCCTCAAGGCAATGTCATGGAAATGTGGATCCTTGCAAAATAACATTGGCATATGAAGTTCGTGGGCAGAAACAGAATTCTAGTAAAGATAATTAATCATCTGGTTGTCTGCATCATCCATCCATCTCTTTTGTTTCTTTTTGCTTGTCAATGTATGAATTGCATATAGAAAGCCATTTGGGAGTTCAAAGAATTAGCAAATTTACTTGAAAGGTTATTTAATGATGACTAGTTGTGAATAGGCAATATACTGCTGCAATGTATCAATATGTTAAAAGATCGCCATTGGTAATGCACCTTGATCTATTGGTGCTACTATGGTTTGTATTCATGAATGATCAGCCCGTGAGAAGATTCACACAAATAGTGTTGCTCATATAATTAATGATGAATCAACTAGGAAGTTTCTGCATTCAGTTAAAAGACTGGTGACATTCTGCTAACAACGCTATCCAACGATGAGATCCAAACATGTGGCTTCCAATAATGCCTATGCCTGCACAAGAAACTCTGTTTATTCTGTACGTTGATTTCCCCTTGCTGCAGTCTAAAGCGGTTTCCTTTTTCTCCTTGAAGTTGAAATGACTTCGAAGTTCTTTTATTAACTTCTTTTTGCTATTGAAATAATATAAAAGACTTGCAAAGGCAATTTGATGAAGTTGACATGAAAAAGTTTGTTCATATATATAGCTGAACCATGAGTACAACCATTTGCATCGTGACTTAAACTAACTCAACTTGCTGCACTGCATTAATAGACAATAATAACCTCAATTGGAACAAACTTTAGCTTTAACAATTTATTGAGCTAATGCGTTTGATTAAGCTTATATAAGTAATGGACATTTAAAATACACCCAAAAGATTTTCCATAATTTAAAATAAGAACACTTTATCGTGTGTTCAAATGCTCAATTAAAACAAGTCACAAATCAAGTATCTAAATGAAATTTACTAGTAAAAGTTTAAGGGTATCTCAATGTAATAAGCCAAACAAAAACTAATCAAAAGAGGCTAATAAGTTAAATCACGGGAGAACAGGATCCTGCCCTAGCACGTTACCAACCCCTTTCCAAAGAATCCGCACTGATTTTACGCCTCATTATTCTCATTCAGGCAATTCCGCGAACATCTAACCTGCAGCAGAAAACTTTGCGTTTGTGTTCACAAGTTAAAGACTGTCTCATCCTTACAAAATATAATGGGGATTCTAGTTCACATGCCATCATGCTAGATAATAAAAAGGGCGTGACGAATTTGGGGAAATATTTTTCTTCCCCCAAAATTCTCCATCATTTGAGTCATTAGCAGAAAGTACGAAGAAGATATTTCTCCTATTGCTGTCAAATTCCTTACCGGAGCTCCATATTGAAATGTTAACTAATGCTTTGAATAGTTGGTGTAATTGTTTAATTGAATTGATAATTCTTCGTGTATCTGAAATTCCTTTCAGCTCGTTACTGAAGAACAAAGGGATGAGGTTACAGATTCAGATGATGGACACCGTGCATAGATTTGATAACCTACAAAATGAGGACATCTTTGCTGAGGAATTTGTTTCAAGACACCTGTTGATGCGACTAGCAAAACAGAATCACATGACAATGTCAACAAGATCCAATAAACCAAAGAAAAAGTGATAGTGATGAACTATAAAGAGCTATTGGACATAATTGATGAAGAAGACGAGAAAAATACTCCATGTTACTTTAGGAAACCATTCTATCTTTTTAAGTATTTTGCATTACTTAAGCATGCTCTATGATGGTCATAGAACACCTTATTCTCTCTTGCTCTTATTTTCTTCATGGTTGTTAAAAGTAGAGGTTTTTAACCTTATTAGGATTGGCAAGATAAAGTCTAGCTCCCCTTGCTTGTACTTATTCCAATGGAGGATTTTTATATTTTTGTGCGGATATGAACAGGCTGGAACTCTGACTATTTTCACATTTTCACATTTTTGCTATGATCGCATGCCTACGGAAGGTACCAAGACAATGCTTTATAAATGCTTGATATGTGTGGAACCTTGAACATTCTTGATAATTGTAGTTAATGCTTGCATTCATGTTTTTGTTTTCTAATTGACTCTCTTTGCTGCTTCAATTTGAGTGAAAATAACATTTGCTCCTTGGATATAAATTGATAAGAGCAAAGGCTTTCTGCTCATTCTTTTTCTTTCAACTTCTTCTCATCTTCCTTTCTTTCTACCAAACTTCCAACTTCCTTTTCTTGCAAATATTCATTTTCTGCTTCTTCCCCATAGTGCTTTGGTTGACAATACATTTCTATCTGTGGATAGATATGAATGTTCTGCAACTTCTTTTATTTTTATCTTCTGTTTCATAGCCCTTTTCTTCTGTAATTTTTATAGGGATAAGGCACAAGTACCCCCTAAATTATGATCGAACTAGACTATGATCGAAATGTCAAAGACACACCTTAACTAAACTATGGTCCTATTACCCTTGAACTCATTTTTTTGTAATATTATACACCTTTTGACTTACGTGGCATACTCCATAACTTCACGTAGTTGAGGCGTGTCGAAGATGTTTGGATGCCACATATGCCAAAAAGGTGTACAAAATTACAAAAAAATGGAAAAATTACCTAAATGCACATCTTATTTTACCATAATCTCTAAAATTCCCTATCATTCAAAAAAATTTCAAAAATCTCCTCTCGGATACATCCCTCACCTATTTATCCGGATGCCTGCTAATGTATCTAGAAGTCCAGTGATGTATCCGGATGTCCTATCCCCTCTCTGATACATCCCTCACCTATGTATCCAGATGTCTGCTAATGTATCTTGAAGTCCAATGATGTATCCGAAATTCCAATGATGTATTCGAAATCCATAAATTTTAAGAGATTTTTGTAATTTGGAAAAGAATAGGGAAATAATGTAATTAGCTCTTAAGACTATGAGATTTATGTAAATTATACAAAAAAATAGGTTCTGGGGTAATAGGACCTTAGTTTAGTTAAGGTGTATCTCTAGAATTTCGGTCATAGTTTAGGGGATACTTGTGCCTTATTCCATTTTATATAAGCATTTTCTTGGTATAAATTCATCGCTGTAGTATTACATTGTTTTGGACTTAGTCTTGACTGATAACTTGGATGGTTGGATGTGTATTTGGAAGATAATAATGGATAGTTAATACAATTTGGTCAAGGGGGTTATAAAAAAAAGTTGATTGTCAAAAAGTAATCAATCTGTCACTGGATCAAATATGTAAAATCTGTGTAAAGATTGGACTAATTGAAGACTTATTTGATGTGTAGTCCAGCTTATCAGACAACTGCTGAAGGTTATTAAACATAGTTGTTTGCTTAAAATATTCCCATGTCAAAGCTAATATTTGTGCTTGTCTCTTTTTGTGAACTTAATTTTGAAGTATTTGTCTTACTATGATCATCAACTAAATTTGATTGTCTGACCAATGTCTTTCTTTAATGGGAAAATGCCCAAATATGCCATCAAACTTTGAAAAAAAGCTCATTTATGTCATACGTTAAAAGTTTGGCTTATCTATGTCATTGTCATTTGAGAAAAGACTCATCCATGTCATTATTTTTCAACTCTGGTTTTGCAAAATAATTTTTTACTTCAACAAGACCCCAAACAACTTTTAACACTTTTCAATTGGGGTTTTGGACGAAATATACTCTTTTTGCTTGTTCTTCCCCAAGAACACCAAGATCATAGGGAGAACATAAAAAACTCCCAAATTTCCAACTTCTTCAATTCTTCACAAAATCACCTCAAATTTCGGCCATGTCAAAAAAAAAAGAAGCCAAATTTCTAAAATCATTTGTCGAATTAAAAAAATCCTCCTGTATTATAAAAAATATTCCAAAAAAATGAAAATCAGTCCCAAAATTTCAAAAAATTGCTTTGATTCGTGTTTTCGTTGTTGTTTTTGACACTAGACCCTTGTTCCCTAGTGTTCTTTGAGTTTATGTTCAAAATTTCAAGTGATTTGAAGTTGTGGAGAAAATTTCACCATTTAAGGATGTTGAAGTTTTGAAAATTTAAAGAAATTTCAATTAAGTCATGTTGAATTAGGTTGAATTCGAGCTCAAAAGATATTGAGTTTTGGTATCTAGCTCGGAGGGAAGCTACTCTTGAAATTTTGAGAAAGCTGAAAATTTGGGAGTTTTTGATATTCTTCATGTGTTGTTGGTGTTATTGAGGAAAAAGAAGCAAAAAAAGTACACTTGATCCAAAAATCCCAATTAAAAAGTGTTGAAAGTTGTTTGGTTTGTTGAGGTAAAAATGGTTTTGCAAACCGGAGTAAAAAAAGAATGGCATGGATAAGCCTTTCCTCAAACGGTAATGACATAGATAAGCCAAACTTTTAACGGATTGCATAAATGAGCCTTTTCTCAAAGTTCGATGACATAGAATTGACAGTGAGTTGATCATCCTTACCTCATGAAGTTCTCTAGCATAGAATTGGCTATTGACAATATAGAGGCTAGAGATGTTGAACAATTGTGTGACTTATGTCATGATGTAGTGGAGGATATAGTAGTGAGTTTGTGAACCTTTATCCCCCCACCCCCCTAAACCAAGAAATGGGGTAAGGGAAAAGGGAAAGAAGAAGCGGAAAAAACAACACATCCAGAAACATGTTACTCCGCTGAACTTTAATTTGATAGCTCTCTCCATTTTGCATTTACTAAATCATTTTTGTGTTGACCATCAAGGTCCAAGAACTTCAAGAAACTTCCAATTGCCCATTGTCAATGTGAACTCTTTAAATGACATTTACTTGTGTTGAACGGTTTTAAATACTTTTTCCTTAAAATTACATCTAGATCAATTTCGAAATAGAACAGATTTGTTGGAAAGGACTTTTTTTGTTTCCTTTTTTTACTTGAATTCACCCAATAATATTTAAATGTATGATGTTCATTCTCAAAAAAAAAATAATTTAAATGTATGATGATAAACTTGGATGTCAATTTCTACACATCAAAAAAATGAGAAGCCCTGATTTCTCACTGCTTTCTGGAAAAATGAATCCTCCAATACCAGGTTCTTCTTCTTCGTCTTCTTAGTCTTCTTGTTTGTTTATCTTCTGAAGCTCTTGAATTTCTTGAAAGTTTGGTTGAAATCAAATGATTTTGAAATGACCCAAATGGAAAATAATGAATGACATGTAAAATTGGAATAGCATGAGAATGTTGTGCCCTAGCGATGAGCTGTTATCTTTAATTTTCTCATATTTTTAATTTATTGATGTCAAATTCCATAGGGGAGATCCATCTTGAAATACTAGCACCCATAAATGCTTTGAATAGTTTGCGTAATTTTCTAATTAAATTGATATTTGTTCATGTTATTGAAGATCAAATGGATGAAGATACGGATTCAGATCGTAGATACCGTGGCATGTTGCAAAGGATAACAATGAGGAAATATGAACGTGAGAGGATACAAAAGAGAAGAGGATTAATTTTGACATGGGAGATACTTGAACAAGAAATGGATGAATTCCTTCTGGAGAATTATTCAGATGATTTAGACTTGGAAATTCATAACGTTTCGTTTGCTGAAACTGCTGAGGCACCATCAGATTTGATCTTGCCACTATTGAGGTACCAAAAGGAGTGGTTGGCTTGGTCATTAAAGCAAGAAACTATATTCAAAGGGGGTATTCTTGCTGATGAAATGGGAATGGGGAAGACGGTTGAAGCCATAGCACTTGTGCTTGCTCAATGCGAATTAAAGAAAGCAACTAGTGGTTCCAGTATATTGTCGTCTTCACTCGGTACTTCCCAGGAACTCCCAACAGTAAAAGGAACTCCTGTTGTATGTCCTCTGATTGGAGAAATGGAATGGGTTCGCAAGATTGAACGTTGCACCACTAAAGGAAGCAACAAAACTCTTTTTTATCATGGCACCAATAGGGAGAAATGTATGTTCAAACTGGAGGAGTATGATTTTGTCATTACTACGTACTCCACTATCCAGGCTGACTATAAGCCAAAAAAGACAAAGAAGAACTGCAGTGTTGGTGAAGATGTGTCCAAGAGGAAGTCAGTTCTGCATTCAGTGAAGTGGGAACGTATCATTTTGGATGAGGCAAGTCATACATTCATAGATTCATGCATTAACTTTTTGTTTTCTTAACTTGGCATTTCCAGGTACATGGTGTTCATTTACTGTTTTTGCAATCTTTTTCAAGTAGATCATGTTAACTGCTGATTAATGTGCTAACAGCGATGTTGGTTATTAGAATGTGAAGAATCTTTTGGTGGTTAGGAAGAAACCTATACAGTTAACTGCTGAATTATGGAGAGTACCTCCATAATGTTTCAGCTATTAAGATACAGCATAATGTAAGAATATGGAATTTATCTCTGTCCTAAAGTTCATTGTTTGCTCAACTGCTAAACATGTGAAATTTCATCTTCAATTCTAGTTTGATCATTCGTTTCTATTTTCATGATGGATATGGACATTCTGTTCTCTCTGTTGTCCTTGAACACTGATGCATGTGGTTTGTAGTTTGTGCCTGGTCTAGCTGCTGAGAGTAGAACTCCTAAATTTCATATGACACCAGATATTTTATCTGAAATGTTCTTAACTGATTGAATGTCTATGACATAGGCTCATCATATCAAATCTGTACACAACAACTCCGCAAATGCGGTTCTTGCTTTAGAATCTTTCTATAAGTGGGCCTTAACTGGTACACCCCTGCAAAACTGCATGGGGAATTGTACTCATTTGTAAGTTAACTTTTGCTACTTTTAACTACATTTTCTTTACTTCTTTAGTTGTGAGGTTAATTAAATGCTTTACTTCTACTCAGGTCCGTTTCTTTCAAGTTATGCCTTGTGCTTGTTACTTTTGCGAAGATTGTAATTGCAGTGGACTTGATTTTAGGTAGACACAAAGATTCTTTTTTATATCCTTGTTCCTACCCCTGATGGTGAAATTCTCAATGGCTCAAAGTCTATTTTACTTTATATTGTTGTTATTTTGCTTCTCAATCAGTGTTACTTCTGAAACATCTTGTGCTGTCTGTCCTTTGATAAATTCTACAGCTTCTCCGATGTGTGCCCACAGTGCTCCCACCAACCTGCACGTCACTTCCTCTGGTGGAAGAAAGTAAGTTGATAATTAGTAATTTACATACTTTTGAAGTTTCATCTTATTGCTGACATAGTAAAGTTGAAATATCTTCTTCTTTTTTCTAGTATATTGAAAAACCATTAAAGTCATACGATAATGAAGGTACAGATGCGTTGGTGTGGTTGAAGTACAAAATTCTGAAAAGTCTATTGCTAAGACGTACCAAAAAAGAAAGAGCTGTTGATCTTGCACTTCCCACAAAGACTGTAAGTTCTGTTTGCACTAGTGCCGTGTGCTTCAATTCGATTAGAATCTTCTAACTGGTTCTGTTTTTGGGTTCATTCAGGCTATTGTGAGAAAAGATTCTTTGTATGATAGAGAATACGACTACTACAAGACATTGTACAATAGAAGCCGGGCACAGTTCGATATGTATGCCATCTCTCTGATATTTCATTTTCAAACTCGAGTTTTTCTTCCTTCATGTCCACTTTGCTTGTCTACATCTGCACCAATTTTCTAGCCCATTGTTTCTCTTCTTTTTTTTGTCGCTGTATCTTGTTTCCTACAATTTTTTGTTCTCATGTAGTTCTGGAACCCTTTGGGTTAGATTCTTGGCTTTTAACTTAAAGATCTTATACATCTTTTTGTTCCCATAAAATTTTTAATCATTTATGTCATTACCTTGCCAAAATGTAAAAAGGGAGCAAGGATATTTATATTTCTAGCTGCATCCACATATTTTATTTTGGTGCAGATATGTCCAGCTTGGAATTCTGACTAATTACTTTGGTCACATTTTGGCTATAATCACACGCCTACGTCAGGTACCAATAGTCCAAGACAATGCTCTATATATATGCTTGATATGTGTGAAACCTTGAACATTCTTGATTGTAATGGATGCTTGCATTCATCTTCTTATTTTTGTTTTCTAATTGACTCTTTTTATTGCTTCAATTTTTGAGTTTTTGGTTCTAAGCGTTCAAATCGATTTTATCCATTTTTTACTGGATTCAATGTAGTTTAGTGTATAAGCATATGTTTATCCTTTTGTCATTCAGGGTCATTTAATAGGTGGAATTAGTCATCCAGAATCACTGATTAAAATACTGTGTGTG